CGGTCGCCACCGCTCTTCTCGCTGCAACCGCCGCCGCCCGCCGCCCAGCTCGCTGTCATGCTTTCGCCGTCGTGATTTGGAGGGGCAAATGGAGAGAGAGGGCTAGGGATTTGGAAAGGGAAACGAGAAGATGACATAAGTTAGCTATAAGTTAGCTCTTCTTCTTCTTCTTCTTCTTCTTCTTCTCCAAAATGACATAAGTTAGCTATAAGTTAGCTCTAATATGCTTAGTTCACTCAAAGATGGCATAATTAGCTAGGTTGGCTCCTTTTTACCTAAGTTGGCTCTAATATGCTAAGTTATCTCTACTATGCTTAGTTTCCTATTGGTTAGCTCCAAAATTACTTGTGTTAGCACAAAATGACCAAGTTTACATAATAAGCTTATAGTCTTCTTCTTCTTCTTCTTCTTCTTCTTCTTCTTCTTCTCCAAAATGACATAAGAAGGCCTTTGCTGGCACGTGTTCAGACGGACGGTTTGCCATCCGCTGGCGGACGGCAAAGGAGTTTGCCGTCCGTGATCCATGCCTTTGCCATCTGCCATGGCGGACGGCAAAGAAGTGAATTCCAGTAGTGCACTTCTTTTCTTTTTCTACCACCCATCTTGACTTGGCTCTACTGATTGTATCCTTCCTAAGGGTTGGTTCCTGGCATGTGTGCTTAAAAGGGTTCACTTTGACCTGAACATTCGTGCTATTTCACATTTTAGATGCAAGCATCCTCCATGGACAACCCTCAGTCGGACAGTGCACTCTGTAACGTACTTGATCGCTCTTGTCAACTTTGAAAGTACGTTCTACCTTGATGCAATATGTCACAAGTGCATTTTTACACTCTGTCATGGATGCAAAAACGGTACCTTCTTCCATATGAGGGTTCAAAGGGTCCCATTCAACAACTGCAAGGTCTTCGTCCTCACCCACCGCGTCATCATCCACATGGACTGCATTCTGAGCATCTTGGTTTTCAGCCCGAGGTGTCCGTCATAAATTCTGAATAACATCAGAATATAGCTTCTCTTCATCAATCCCAAAATTGGAGGAATCAGGCTCCACTTCAAGGGGGGCCCTACTGCCGGTGCCCACGCTTGTCGAGCCACCATGTCGTCGTGCACCAACTGAACTATTCTGGCTAGAGCTGCCATTACGACGACTTGGTTTTCCCCGAGATGTTGCACCAGCCATCCTAGGTCCAAATGCCTGCTCAATCACGTCAACTTGCAGCCTCACATGAAAATTCTCTTTCTCCTTATGCCTAGCAAACATGATAGGCAGCTCTTCATCATTACTAACTGTCACCCATTTCTTTTCCCCATCATAATATTTGTATTCCACTTCATCAAGCAAACCCCAAGGATATTGGCTACAAATTACCTCCCCAAATTGTCTGAAACTCCAATTACAAGCCATTGGCAACCGATAATCGAAACCTCCTTGGAATTTCTTCTTATTCTTTGCATTCAACATGTACATGTCCCTTCTAATGTGCACCAAGAAAGCGAACCGCAACTCCATCCTAACCGACAAAAAATAGAGATGCAATCAGCACACTAACCGGGCAAACTAAGTCGAATCGACTATTCAAATGCACAACTAAGCTCAATCTAAACAGGAGGCGTGACTTACCCCTCGGGAACCCAGTCGTGGATGCGGCAGATCTCCGGCCCGATAATGCCTGCCTCGCCAAATACTTCGGGGTCGCCACTGCTCGCCATTTCGCCCTGGGGTTCACCCTCGTGCTTCAAACAGCTCCACCAGCCCCCCATCTATCAGCACTCCAGCCGGGTGCACGGAAGGAGGCCGCGGCGCGGGTCGAGCAGGTGGCGGGCACCCCACCCGTGGCGTCGCAGGAAGGTGGCGGGCGGAGCAGGTAGCGGTGGAGCAGGACGGCCGCGGTCGCGGCCACGGCAGCGCAGCTAGTGGCGGCGCAGGTGCTGGTGGCGGCGGCGGCGCAGGACGGTCGGCCGGCGGATGGGACAGAGTGGGCGCGTCGAGTTGGCAGGTTAGAACCTATGATTGATTTGGGGATTTTTTTTTTCACGATCCCACATGTCAGCTCCAAACCACGTCCACGCAATCCCACGTGTAACCTCCGGACCCACTACCACTAACGCGGGCGGACGGAATGGACTAAAATTTGGCCGTTTGGCCTCGCCATAGTAGCTGCGCATGGACTAGGGGCAAAACTGAGCACAATTCGTAACTGAGGGCAAAACTGAGCACATGGACACCACTGAGGGCAAAAGGATAATTAACCCAACAAAGAATTGCCCAAAAGTCGATCAAAGTTTTTCCTTCATGAAAATTTGTATACTAGTGCCCAAAAAATGTCAAGTTTATTCAAAAAAAAGTTCTATAATTTTTGACTTTTTCATAATTATTAAAATTTTCCATATAAAGTGTATATACACCTAGGAACCAAAGGGCATTTCCCTTTGGTTTACCGACTATCCACCAGAAAAATGGTTAGCACTATGTGCCTAAGAAATAACTTTTTGTAAGTTCATTTTTTAAGGACTACTCTATTTGTAAGTCTTAACAATAATATAAGAAACACTTCCAGTCCTTCGATATATTTACTTTCCAGTCAACATTCATAGCTTTTCATTTTACAAAAGCCAGAAGAAATATTATATACATGAGTTCGTTGCTTGAATCTGTAAAACATAAGTTAATTACGCAGATTGAAACTACTGCATGTGCGATGATTCCTCATACGAAATTTGCATGACGCAACATCCACTGGTCGCTGCACTTTTAGTCCACATCACTGACGGTTCCATCTGCTACATCGCGCAAAATTTGTGCAGGAAATATCGTCCGTATAGCACTGCTCTATGAGGATTAGCTTGATAGTGTTCTTGGAAGATTGAAGTAAACAATGTGCCAGCTATCCAATGGGATTGTTTGAACTGCAAAAATGTTCTCTCAGCCATGAAAAAAACAAATACTCGGAATTTAAGATTCCGGTTTAGTGGCACTTCAATTGACCTGCATTTCATTTGCTGGAATATAGCTGGATCACTTATACCTCTGTGAAGTAAAACTCACTCTGGGAAAATAGTTTCTTATCAACCACTCATGATTCCAATGTATGTGTACAACAATGGTCTTACATGGCTAAACTTTTCGTACGACACATGACAAGTTCAAATGATTTTGTGACTAAAAACATAACATTTCTTTGACTTAAACTTCATGTGCAAGATTGGACGTATCATTGGCTAAATATGTGATGCAGTGAAGTTCCTTACAAAATGGACGTATCATTGGCAAGTTGGCACCGGCAATCTGCCGCTTGGCGTCAGTTAGTAGCAAACATTCACAACTCCCCACACATACGCACTGTCAAAAAGCTTAACACTAAGTAGCTACAGGAAGTACAGTAGAGATGAAGCAACAATATTTATTTATGCCCCATCCGTCGGCATAATTAAGCACCTCAGTTATAGTCAGGCTACGAACCCTCAGCTGGCGGTGGGTCCAATGGGCCTGTGCTGCCCACGGTGTCATCTTCTCATCTCCGTCAGCGCAGAGGGCAGAGGGCAGAGGCAGAGGAAGTGGCTGGATGTGGTGAGGAAGGAGCAGAGGCACCTCATCACATATGCCCAGGTCCAGCTCGGCAAGATGCTCGCCGACGCATACATTAGAAGAAGTGTTCACTGGAATACTAGCTATCCTTGATTCCATGGAAGAGTTAATCTGGTGAGGATTAGTTGTGGACAACAGGTGAATAAATCTGCTCTAGTTTGTAATTGTAGTAGCAGCATGCTTATGTCAGGCTCCCAAAGGTTGCAACTCAAGGAAGGAGTAGACATAGGGTCAGATTATTACTGCCATTGTTATGCGCATTGTAGGAATTGAAAATCTCATCACCAGTACGATATTGCTGTTGTGTGGAGGAAAAATTCTTCGCTCCGTCAAGTGTCATTTACCTGAAAAAGGGACTTGTTGTGATAGCACATACTGATTATGTGCACGCAAAAAATACAACGTTGTACACATTGATTGGAATCAGAAGCGGTTCATAAGAAACTCCATGGAGAAAGGCAAAAATACTTTTTTGCTTTGTCGCCAAAAAAGTGGGGAAGCCTCATGTTTGTAACGCAGTCGTCTGTGGCCAAAAGGAAGAAAAAGAACTGAAATGTTTGCAAGATGCTAATAACATTACACGGTTATACTCCCTCCGTTTTAAAATAGATGACTCAACTTTATATTAGTACAAAGTTGAGTCATCTATTTTAAAACGAAGGGAGTACCTCGCAAACACATTAATGTTGGCAGTGAAACTAGGTATGTTGTAGAAAATGGCAGGAATAGCTATGAAGCTACGCCGCACAATTAACTTACATGTGGTAGAAATATATTGCAGGCACGCATACATACTCTGCTGTACAGATTAAAGCAACGACGACTTTTCGACTGTCTACTACAACAAGTTGTGCCCGGCTCCGGCGATAGAGGGGCGATGACGGCGGCGCGCCTTCGGCTCGCTTCGGTGCTTGTAGTCGTCGCTAGGTGGTTTACGAATCTGGATGTAATTTTTATTTCTGGTATTCGTTGTACTGTCATGATTGAAGATGAATAGATTGAAAGTTTTTCCGAAAAAAGAAAAAGCAACGAACTGTTTTTTTTTAGGCAACAACGAACTCGTGTATGATATCTGCTGGCCTCCGCAAAGAGAGAGAAGTAATCCCATCCCAGAGAGAGGGCTTCCAACCCACCCACCCTCTGCTGCTGGTTGATCTGTCGGGCCTCTGCATCCTCTCTGCTCCTTCCTCCCGTCTCCGTAGGCGCAGGCAAATCTCGCTCCCTCTCCTACACCTTCGAAGCACAGCCCCAGGCGTGCGCTCTGGCCAGGATGGGGGCGGTTGCCTCAGGCCGCGCCTCGCGCAGCGGCAACCTTCCTCTTCCCCCCTCTGCGCCCTGCCGACGAGGACGGCGGTTGGCCCCCCAGGACGCGCACAACAGCAAGATGGGGGCGGATCGACCATTGTGTCCTTTATGCCGTGGAGTCTTTCAGAGATTCCCACCTGCAGGTACATCGATTCATCGCATGTTATCTCCGAATTTGATGTGAGAAACATTAGAGATTAGACACAAGGGAGATTGTTTTTTTACCAGGGCACTCACGCGTATGCCGATTTACTACGCAGCTTGGATTTTGTAGACGAGACACGAGAGCAAGTGGAAATACTCCCCACCTTCGCTGCATCGTCTTTTCAACTCCGGGCAGCCTCCTATGCTCAAGCTTTCGAGGGCGGGCAACCGCTCCAGGAGACCATGCGGGAATTCCTCCAAAGCTGGACAACCCATAATACTCAATCGCCTAAGAGAAGTGAGGCCACACATCCCATCCGGCAGCGCTTTCAGGCCACTGCAGAAATTCACTTCGAGACTTCTCAGTTTTGCCAGATTCCCGAGGTTCGAAGGCAGTGCTACCACACTGAGGCAGCCTAAAATCATCAGTGCCTCTAGGGACAACGGAAGGGCCTCCTCCTCAGACGACGAAGTTTTCCCCTCCAGGTTGTGACAATACCTGATATATAGAGAGCGGAGGCAATCCAAGGACCGAAGCTCCTCTGTTGGCCAGCGGACAAGATTGCTGCAACTGCTAATCGTCAGATTTTCCACAAACGAAAAGCATTTCCAAACCATAAGTTGTGATCTGGACAATCGAGAGCTTCTGACCAAGCTGTTGGGGCCTCCCAGATACAAATGCTTCAGTTTTTCAAGAGGTATTTGACTTTGGCTTTGCTGGGCGTCTAGAGACAACATGGGTATGTCTCCTGGAGACCGAAGAGTTAACTTGGCGAGAAATGGCCAAGAGCCCAATTGGATGCTCATAAAAACTAAACTGACTGTAGTACTGTGAACTCTAACTATTGTCAACTCGCTGATATTGGGGATCACTGGAATACTTGCAAGCTTAGGGCACTTTTCGATCTTTAGCTCTTCAAGCATCGGGAACGTTACCAAGCTATCACTAGCCTCTCCCACACTATTTTCTGCCCATATCTCCAGGCTTGGTAAATCAATCAACTCCATCCTCTTCAACCCAGGGAAAATTGGCAGAGGGGTAATGCATCCTCTGGCTTCAACATCAAGGTTATTACATAATGTGGTCAGGTTATCCATCTTTTGTAAGGACAAAATCTCCAGAGTGACCGAGAACCATACGACGGGTATACTCTTGCATCTTGGGCAATCGGACATTTCGAGTTCTTTCAAACTGTTAAACATCTGAGGCTTTCTCATCCATTGTGATATTCGTAGGCCGCCATATCCACGTATCTCCAAATTTTGGATATTACTGTGAGGTTCTAAACACTGCAACACTTCTTCCACATTGCAGGCCATATCTCTAGGCCCATCACCTACTTTTTGGTCCCAAGAGAATAACAACTCAGTTAGATTTTGCTTCTGATTGAGGTTGGCTTCTTTTGCATTCTTGCCACTCCTTATCTTGCTCAAATTCAGCAGTTCCAGCCTATTGCTCAGGTGTTGCAAGTCTTTGAGCTGCTCTATCCCGAGACCATATCCAGTACCCACAACAAATGTTGTTAATATGTGAAGGTTGTTCAGTACACCAAAATTTGGGGACATACTTCTGAGACGATCACAACCAGATAGATAAAGATGGATGAGCTTTCTCAATCTTGCCATGTTTTGTGGTAACTGCTGCAACTTTTGACAACCTATGAGCCTCAGTGTTTGCAGATTATACAACATACATACTGAATCTGGCAAACTAATGATGTCTGACCAAGAGAGGTCAAGATACCGTAAATGTTTTGCATTTATGGCCTTGCAAATGACAATTAGAGAAGGGGAGCAATCCAATGCTCTTAGTGATGCCAATACCTGTTGCAACTCCTTAATATCTTTGTGTGATCTGCTCAGAAAATTATAAGTATGCTCCGCCCGTGATTCCGAAGGAGCTAACATCGTGCGGAGGTATGTTCTGCCTTTGCATAACCCACTGATTTGTTGCAATTCGGCCGTTGACATTTGCATGTGACAAACACCTTTTAACAATGCTTTTTGCTGAGACAATTCTTCTACACTTGCACATTCATCTGTGACATCTTTTGCTAGATCATGCATTAAGTCATGCATTTTACATACAATTGTCTCATAATTTGTGCCACCCCAATAGACAGCAGATTTGACTATCACTTTCTTATCTTGGAGGAAGGACCTCCAAACCAACTCATCGAAAATGAATTCTCCTTTCTGAATTAAATCCATTGTTCCCTCTTCATGAATAAAGCCATTTGCCATCCATAGTTGGATCAACCTATCCTTCTCCATCTCATAATCCTTGGAAAAAACTGCACAGAATGCAAAACATTGCTTCATTTCAGGTGATAGGTGTTTGTAGCTTAATTTCAGTATGGGCATGACTTCATATTTGCCTCCATCATTATCCCCAATGTTACTTTCTTCGATGGCCTTCCATTCCTGTACTTTTTGCTTTGAACTCAGCAATCCGCCCATTGTCTTGAGAGCAAGAGGCAACCCCCCACATTTATTGACAATACGCCTTCCGATGGCGACCAACTCTGGTTGGTCATTTACACCATTGCTAAATGCTTTGTTCAAAAACAATTCCCATGAGTCTTCTTCACTCAGAAATACTAGCTCGTGGGGCTTGACAGTGCACATTATAGAGGCCACTTGTTTGCTTCGACATGTGACCACTATAACACTTCCTGGTCCACCAACAGAACACAATAGTGGCTTCAGTTCATCCTCCCACATTCTCTTCTCTTCATTCCAAACATCATCGAGAACAAGTAAAAATCTCTTCTGGCCAATGATTTCCTCAAGTTGCTTTCGCAACAACTCAATGGTGTCAGGAATGTCACATCTTTTATTTACAGCCAACTCAATGATGGATTTCAAAAGAGCAGTGGCATCAAAGTTGTCTGACACACAGTGCCACATCTTCAACTGGAAATTTTTCTGGACCTCTTGGTCATTATACACCATCTTAGCAAGAGTCGTCTTGCCAAGACCACCCATCCCAAAGATGGGCAATACCTTCACCTTCTGCTGATCTTGTTGGTCCAGCAGTTGCTTGACCACCACCGTCTTATCATCATCTCTTCCAAAGATTTTGGTACAGTCATCCAGTTTTGAGTGCGTCTGCCGGCAAGGATGTTGCCGCTTCTCCCTATGGACAGAATTCTCCAGGCCAAATTTGTTCATCTCCTCAACCAACTTATTGATCTTCTTGAGGACGTTCTTGAGTTTCCTGCTCATTTCAAAACGGAAGAGCAGCGGGCTGTGGCGCGTGATGTAGCTGAGTGCCTTTCGAGTAGTGGACTTGCCAATCCTAGATTGGCGGTGCAGCGCCTCGTACTGGAAGTCGTCGAGCACGTCGTCGGCCTGGTAGGCGACGGACTTGAGCTCCTTCATCCAGCTCTTGACATAGGGATTTTTCTCGCTCATCTCCTCAGCGTTGGCCAGCTTGCACTCGACTGCTAGTAGATGCCGCTCGAGCGTTTGGCGGTCGTCGTCAAGGCCATACATGCGGGTCACTGTCTCGACGAGTGCGTCTGCGGCCTTGCCAGCCACGTCGCGGACTAGAGGGAGAAGCAGTGACTCTGCCATGATCTTGCAGATCGGAGGAATTGGAAACTGCAGAATTTGAAGAACAGAAAAGCAATTAAGCACTGACAGAACACCGAACAACCTTGTTATCTTCCTATGGAGCCAGGAAACATTGTGCTCCTAGCTTCAAAGCAAGGCTTACCACCTAGCAATCCTCCTTCTATTTACTTTATTTCTTAGTATCACATACTTTTTGCTATATATACTTAAAAATTCATGTTCTGTACAGCTAAAAAGGAAGATGAACAACCGATAAAGAGCAAAACAAGGTAAGGATTGAAGAGAGCACTCACCTCAACAACGCCCAAATTTGATCTTCCGTGAAAGAGCAACGATTCTACTGCTCGTTCGTCGCCAGCCCTGTGCAGATCTCTCACACGTCCAGGCTGCTTTGGTATGGGAATGGGAGGTTGCTGGAGAGAGAGGATGCAAGCAAATGGAGATAAGATCAAGGGATCCAAGAGCTGAGTTGACTGGTACCTACCGGTGGCCCCTCAATTATATGGTGTGTGCCCCCCTGTGCGGTTGTTGGAGAGAAGGAATCCAAGAGCTACTGATAAGTGTACCTACCGGTGGGCCCTCATTATTTATTTGCAACTGTATGTCACTACTACTTCAGTATCATATTTAGGTTAATTTGCTTTATAACTTAACAAAATTCTGTTGGCCACTGCTCCAGGCCAAATTGAAAACCAGAAATCGCACAGCCAGGAAGGAATTTCTGTGTGGAATGTATCACCTATGTTATTGCAAGAAAATTCTGAAGAGGCGCTCCTGCATCAATTCTTTTTCCTGAAGCAGAGGCCCAAGCAAAAACTCAGTTCTCGCCAAACAAATATCGGTTTTATCAATGGCTGCGGTTGAAGGAGAGTGGATCAAGGAATCCAAGACCTGAACTATATATTGACTGGTACATGTACCCGGACTGAGATCCAGTGACTTGCCTCTAGCAAGTCACGTTGTAACTGGCCCCCTCTCATCTGCCGTCCAATGCAGATCCAACGCATGAGATTGGCCCAAAGCAAAACAGCCCACACCTACAGACTTGGCAAAAGCACAACTGCACAAGCATAGAAGCAGGGCCGACATGGCACTCAAACCTCTTCAGATTGCCCATTTTCACAAATTCTAATGCTAGTACATAATGACAACAGCAGCAAAGCACCAAGATATTCCAAATTACATATTTCACAGCCCACATTTGGCTTAATAAAAACACGAGAAAACTGTCCAAATTGCATATTATGTACGGCAGCAACACAACACTGGAACCTGTCCAAATTGTATGGTTCTCAGCCTACACTTGTAGGATTGGTGAATACAGAAGAAACAATGCCAGTAAAGTAATGGAACCTTTTCAAACTGGACAATTTTGACACTGAACACTGGATATATTAGGCCAGTATACTTGTACACTTGGCTATAGTTTAATCCAAAGAGTGAACCATATGCACACATGAGGAGAGATAGGCCACATTAGACCGATTCTAGCAGTACTCAGCATCCAAATTATGCAACAACAGTCTTGCTACTGGACAATCACCGGAGTACATAGATTAGGCTGTTTCACTTGTACACTTAGGCCACAAAAGATTATAGTTAGCCCCAAAATACTATTCTTAACTCTGTCCAAAATACTAGTATCTAATAGACTTGCACATGCTAAAATAAAATCATGATCATCACAAGGTTTGCGCTTTGGCTCACGATCAGTTTGCGCTTTCCTTCTAGTGCCCACATTGGAACACACAAATCTGTGTGAAGTCGCTTTTCCATCAAATTTGCTTAAGTTAATGCATCTTTTCCTCACCATATTCTACCCAAAACACCGAAGCCTCATCCGAATATATGAACCTCATACCAACTTGAGGTGTCCTCTTGCCAATTTCTGCCATTGCACAACACTTTCAAAAATGCATAACACCCGAATTCTGCCAAAATTCAAAACAACATGTATAATTAGTGGTCGACCGATCTGCTTATTAAACAATGCAAGAGGACAAACACGGATACAAAAAATGAAGCATTGGAATCTTCTAAATTGAAATGCATACTGCCATCAGTACATATACAGGATTGGGTTTCATGTGCACATTACTTAACAAAAATGGCAGCGAAGCAGAAAATGTGCAGGTTTCTTGCCCTGTCTGATTTGTTACTTGTTACTAAATCAAACGAAGTTTCAGACATGGGATGTTGCATACTTGTTACTAATCAAACAACAATGCAGAGAAGCTATCTTGTAGTATACGGAGTACTTCCATTGCACCATGAGAGATAAGCTACAATTTCAGAAAGGCGAGTCAAGATGCTGCAGATATGCAATTTATTAAGATAAAAAAGAAAAGCAGTCAAGCAGAACATTTAGTGCATTTATACGGCTGATCTGGTGTACCAGTAAGAACAACTTCAGCCAAAGTAAAAATTCAGAAAATGTTGCAGTCTGAATATGAACAACAGGGGACTCACGACAGAATCATCCCGAGAGGTTCCCGTAGAATCGCCCGGTGCAGTGCCAGCGGATCTCCTCCCTCCTCTGCAGCGACGCCGGAGCCCCTCGTCGCTCTCCTCCATGGAAGCGTAGCTCCTCCTCCGCGACGGCGCCGAGCTGCCTCGCTTCCAGGGGCACTTGCGCAGCTTTCCTCTCTCTCCCTAGACTCTCCCCTGCGTGCCGGCTCGCCTTCCTCTCCTCCGCGACGGAGACGGTCGCCCTCAACCCTCTCGTCCGCGCCGCGGCCTCCCGCCAAATCCCTAGCTTCTGCCCGCCATAGCCCTCGTCCGTCCCTGTTAGCTGTGGCTTGGTTTCACTTGGGCCAATCTCACACGTTGGATCTACATTGGATGGCAGATGAGAAGGGGCCAGTTACAATGTGACTTGCAATAGGCAAGTCACTGGATCTCAGTCCCATGTACCCACTGGTGGCCCCTCATTTATTTACAATCATACATCACTGTTGTTGAATATGGTATATTTTTATAATGAGTTCCGCTTCGGTACAACCCCCTCCCAAAACGTATAAAGGGTAATATGAACATTTCACAACTTTTGTATGTATGGTGAATCACCCAGTAGACTTATACGCCGTACAAATTCGAAAGAGGCCCGCTACTGGGCCGGCCCACTAACAGAACAGAAATAGAGCAATATATGGTCACAAAAAGAGTAGAGAGGCTCAGTCAAGATTCGACCTCGCGACCTAAGACCATATACGGTGTTCTGCTAGCCAGTCAAGCAGTCAACTCCTTTCGGTATTTAGGTAGCGCGGGTATTTTATTAACACAGAAGCGGCACAACTGAAACACACACAGAAACGGCACAATTGAAACAGCATTTACAAAATTTCGAATGTTTCACGGAAAATTCTGAACATCTTCTAAATACCGAAAATTATTTAGATTCCCTGAACAATTTTCTAAAACAGAAACATTTTTCGACATTAGAAAACAGAATTTGGAAACACAATCATTTTTTTGAAATCCACGAACTATTTGTAATACGCGAACTGTTTTTGAAATCCACGGTTTTTAAATATTCAAACATTATACGAATCTATAAAAAATAGTTAAAACAAGAACAATTTTTTGACAACATGAATAACATTGAAAACATTGGAACACATTTTGAAATGAGAACCATAATTGAAATTCCGAAAAAATGAAAAAAAAATACACACGAGCAATTTTTAAAACTCTAAGGTTTTTCCGAAACACTAACAAATTATGCAAATTCCGAACATTTTTTTGAAATTGTGAACAATGTTCACAACCGTAAAGGAAATTTTGAAACTCCATTTTTCTGGAAAACATGAATAAATTTAAAAATTCTATACATGTTTTAAAACCCCTCCTATTCTAGAAATCATGATGAAAATTTAGAATTTTCGACTGTTTTTTGCAAAAAAAAGAACACTTTTTTAATATGTTGAATATTTTTTGAAATTTATGACATTTTCCAAAAGAAGCATAACAAAAAGAAACACAAAAACTAGAAAAATAGAAACGAAACCAAAACTGAGAAAAATTAGAAAAAAATGGTTTAGGAACCTTCTAGAAGTCCTAAAACCGGCAAGTAACCTTCCAGAAGATTCACAATACCGGTGGCTCGAACACTTAGATGGCCCCGCCCATTCTACAATCGTGTGTGTGATTGCCCGACAATTTTCCGCAACAAAAAAACATCGATAAATGATCGGATGTGTCGCGACTTGCATATGGTTTCGAAACTTGCTCAAATCTGGCATGGGCATGCTCAGCTTCCTGCAAAAGTCGAGGTCATTTCAAGAATAACAAAAAGTGGGCCATGTTCAACGGAGGGTGCCCGCGTGGGCAAGAAGGCTCCGTTTGAGAGCACGTTGTTTCTCAACATCGTTGAAATGGCTTCAATTCTGCTCATGGACTTGTATGACCAATTGAAGGCACCATGCCAAGTTGTTTGGGTTTCCGACAAGTTTTGTAAATTCTGGAGTTTTCTCGATCAAAAAAGACCGATAAGTGGTCGGATGTGTCGCAACTTGCATACGGTGTCGAAATTCGTTTTTGTTGTTTCTTTTTTATTTTTAAAAATTGCAAAGTTAAAAAATGATCAATATATTTATTTATCTATTCATATTTTTCCAAAATGTTTGAAGAATTCAAAAAGATCTCATTTTCAAAAAGTTCAAATTTTTTAAATTGTTTGTATTTTCAAAAATTGTTTGAAATTTCAGTTCTTGCCATTTTTTCAAAATTCATTCCGAGTTTCAAACTGTGTTCCACTTTTGAAAATTTTGTTTGCCACTTCATATTTTTTTAAAATTTTAAACAATGTTCTCTTTTATGAAAAGTTGCGCTCAAAATTCCAAAAAAGTTCAAATCTGCCATACTCTCGTCACCCGGGTAATTGGGCACAATGACCAAAATTCTAGGACCAAGGCTTCGTTGCATGGGGACTAAATGCGGGTAATTCTCACCAGTAATCCCGTGCGGTTCGTTTTCCTTTCCTATGTTAATTAATGCCTGTA